TATTAATACATTTAGATATCATATAGAGATATTAATACATTTAAATATCAGATTGCCTTTGCTTTGTGGGATTTTATTTTATGATTATACCTATGATTATGACATATTTATGTCATTTCCCAAGTGTTATTTATTTGGTGGTCTGTTTTTTCACTATTACAAACAAAGCAATAGTGAATATCTTGGTTTTAAAATTCATTCCTACTATTTAAGTGATATCATCTTTTTTCATGCCTATTTTTCTCTTCTCAAAGAACCATTCATTAAATCAGAGAAAATTAATTTTCTATTTTATCATCAAATTTAGGTTTTGTAGTCATAAGCATGTATAGTAAATGCTTTTTTCTTATGATGTATCATTTCCTTATTTCCTCTATCTTTTTTTATCTTCTTTCTAGATATTTGATCAGCAAGGATATTCTTTTTCTATTTTGCATAGTTTACTTCTCATAATTCAAAAGCATTAACTGATAAATAAGACACATAAGAAGTGCTAATAAACTTACATAAAAATAAATTGTATGTATACAAAATACATGCATATGCCTATAAACCTAAATTTGCTCATGTATTTGGGAATGAATGTTATTTATTTCACTGTAGGCCCCAGAGGTACCAGAAGAACAAGAAGAACATAAAGAACTTATTCCTGAAGAAACATATACTTACACACCACCCATCTCTAAACCTTGGGTTTCTTTGGGCAGTGAAAAAGAAATAGAGGAAGAATCGGTTAAAAAATCTACAAAGCAGGTCAGGGGCTTAAATATGATCACTAGTCATTACCTCTTTGTATCTGAGCAACATTTATTTTCACCAAAGCACTAATATAATTTGCTATATTGCTATGGGGATATGTTTTTTGTTTTTGTTTTCATAGAATAATTTTCTTAAGTAGGCATTAAGAGTTGATCTGTCCCTCCCCGGAAAAAGGTATGTCAAAGCCTTACTCTCAGTACTTCAGAATATGACCCTATTTGGAAATACAGTCTTAACAGGTACAATCAGTTGAGATGAAGTTACATTTGAGAGGGTAGGCTGCTAACCCAAACTTGCCAGTATCCTCATAAAAAGAAGGCCGTAGCGGACATAGAGACACCAGGTGAAGAAGGAAGCAGAGATGAGAGGAATATAGTTACAACTCAAGGAACACTAAGGATTGCTGCCCAACACCAGAAGCTGGGGGCAAAGTGAGGGCAGATTTTTTTCTCTCACCCTTCAGAAGAAACCAATCCTCCAACACCTTAATTTCAGACTATCAGCCTCCACAGCTCTGAGAAATAAATCACTGTGTTTTAAACCACCCAGTCTGCGATACTTGGTTATGGCATCCCTGAGCAATGACTATAATGGCATTTCCTCCCAAAGCAACTCTTGAGAAGAGGATTTGTGTGTGAATGACTTTTATTATGAGAGTGTCCCATAAAATGAAGGGGAGTAGGACAGAGACATGGAAGAACCCCTACAGGAAGCAATCACAGGCAAAAGCCTTGCAGAGGGAGAGCTTCAGCCTGAACATTTAGAGGAACACTGGAGTATAAATTAGATTTTAAAGTTGACCCAGAAATCAGCCAAGAAAATGGACTTTTTTCTTATGGTTCCTGTCAGTCCACTGTTGCCATGATGTAAACTATAGTCACTTCCGGTTCTTTGTACCTGCAGGCAAAGTGGTCTTACTAGAGCAGTCCAGGGCTAGGGATTTAGCTCAGTGGTTTTGCCACCTGCTGTGCAAACACAAGCACAAGGACCCGAGTTCAGTCCCCAGTACCAAACAAAAAAAAAAAAAAAAAACTAGACCAGTCCATCAAAGTGGATCAGGTGCAGCCCATGGGAATAGAAAGCACATGGAGCTGAAGGGGAACACAGAGTGTACAGAGGGATCTGAGAGGATCTGGCAGAGTACCAGTGCTGTCCACCACACTTTTTCTCCAGGGACTTCGTTATGTCACTTTTGTTGTTTATATGTGTTGCAGGTTACATATATGATTTCTCGAAAACGAATTGATTTTGGTGCACCAATTTCCTTCAGTGACCAAAATGCTTCCAGTGTAAAAGAGGCCTACATCGAATGTACAGCCTACCCAGATAAAAATTTCACCCTTAAAAAACTTGAGAAAAATGTTGGCATGCAAGCAATCCCCCAAGTCAAGGACACAAGTACTCAGACAAAATGGTGGGTTTCTATATTTTTATAATTACCATAAAATCTAGCAATTTTCCTGATAATTTTTTAAGGCATAGAGTTCCACAAAATAATTCAATTCAGGAACACCTAACTGTGCTCGAAAATACCTTTAAAAATCTTAAGAAAATTAGATATAATTATATGAAGATTATGAAGTAGAAAGACAAATGACATTAATAATTACAGTGCTAGTCATCTCTCCTTTGAAATATTTCTACTCCCTCCTAACTGTTCTCTTCTACCACCTAAGTAGTGATTTTTACCATTTAAATCAGATAGTCTTTATCCTCTAGGTTTATTATTTGGCTCACCATTACTTACAGAAATACACCCATCCAGAGCCCTTGGGGCGGCATCTACGGTAGCTTCTTTCCTCCATGATAAGGTAGATAGAGAAGTGGCAAACAGTTGGAAACTCTAAAGTTCTAAAGCAAAGGAGAGACAAGATTGTAATGTTATTAAGATAAAATGATCCATGCAGCAGGGACTGGAGGGCCAGAAAGAGGGAGCCTGGAGGTGAAGAGATTGACCATGTAGAAACCTGTTCTAATGTGACCAATGTGAACACAGCAGGAACAAGAGGAAGGAGTGGAAAGGAGGTATGTGCACTACAGAATTCTATACATCCCATCATTAAGACAAACAAATAATAACATAGCTCCTCCACCTATTACCTAACAGCTCTGCTCTTCGTCGCAACAAATCTCCTCATGACAGCTGTCCACACTCTCTAGTTTCACTTTCTCTTCCACCATTTTGTCTTGTTGAGCCCAATCCAAGCAGTTCTAAAGCAAAGGAGAGGCAAGATTGTAATGTTATTAAGATAAAGTCTTAACAGGGTCTCTGATTGCCCAATCCAGGGATCCATTTTCATTCCTTCTCTTCACTTCTCAGCAGTGTTTAACAGAATTGACTATTTTCTTTTCTTGAAATACTTTCTTCCATTTGACTTTAGAGACAACTCTGACTATTCGACTCCTAACTCACTGGCAGCTCCTTCTTTACCTCTTTTAATGACCTTCTTCTTCCAAATATTTTTGGAAACTTTCAAGATATTCAAGGATCCCCACAGCTATCTCCTTTCAATCTTTTCTGTGACCAGGCTTAATCTTGGGCTGACTTTGTTCAGTCCTGTGGTGTTTTCCTGTCATTTGTTTGCTGATGGCTCCCAAATCTGTACTTTACTTCCATCTCTCCCCTAGACTCTATATTTGTTTATTCGTCTACTTGAATGCTGACAAATGTCCAATAATTCAATGTCCAACACAAACTTTTGATTTTCTGCCTGCAAACCTGAAAATTCCTGAAACTTCCTTATCTCAGTAAATAGTAGTGATATTTTCCTAATTGTTGGGCACAAAGATCTTGGATTTCATTGGTTATATCTTCAGAATACTTCCATTGCTCTCACACTTAAACAAGCCACTATCATCTCTTGCTTGAATTCTTCTTCTTCTTCACTGTCTTCTGCTATCCAACCTTCTCCTCTACATTCTATTCTCTGTAAAAGAGCCACAGCAATCTTGTTAAAATATAAGTCAGATCATGTCACTGATCAGAGTCCTCCAGTGGTTTCTTATCCTCTTACTCATCCAACCCAGCCACACTGACTTCCTTGTTCCTTGAGTTCTTCAAACATGTTTGTGCCTGGAATGTTTTCACTTACAGTTCCTTTACACAGAACTCTCTTTCCTCAGATATCTTTATGGCTCTTTGCTTCCTTCAATGAGGGAAAGAGAAAATCTCTGCTCAAATGAGGCATCTCCTGACACATCTATATAAAAGCAACAACTGCTATTACTATTCCCCAGTCTACCCCCTTAGTCTATTTTCATCATGGTTCTATCATTGCTTAATATTGTATTTTCACTGTCTCACTTCTCCCCACTATCTTTACAATTTAAGCTCTATTGGACAGGAACTTTGTCTTTTTTTATAATTGCTAGATCTCTAACTCCTAGCATGGTTCCTGGCAGGTACTTATTAAATAGAGGGGTTCAGGGAGGAATGGAACAAGGAAAGGGATGAAGTTAAGGAAACATGTGGCATAATGGTTCATTTAAGTTCAGAGTCATGAAATACACAAGGAGAGAGCTCAAAAGAATCAAGATACAGAAGCATGGACTACAATATGGGGTGGGCGGGAATGCCTTTCAAACCTATGTAAACCAACTCAGAAACCATGAAATTACAATGCTAAAGTCAAGGCACGTATACATGGACAGCAAAGCTTGGGCCAAAAATGAATCAGAAACCAGGAAAGTAGATGAGCTGACAGGTTAGAACCAGAGGAAGTGAGGGGGATTGGTAGTCGAGGATTAGTAGTCAAGTCCTAATGGGGAAGGAGAACATCAGAGATCCATAAGCACCAGGAAGTGAAAGAAGGACAGAAAGTGGAGAGGTAATCTACATGAACCAAAGAAGCTTGGAGTTTGAGAACAATTTCTAAGCCAAGCCAGCCAGAGATTTCTCCTGTTTCTACAAGGGTACAGACAAGTTCCGAGAATGAGTCAGCCAGGGTGGACTCAGTAGATAGACTCAGAAGGAAGAATAAACCTTTGACAACAGGGAGCCCAATTACAAGACTTTGGATACATTTGACTAAGCTCTCAGTGAATGTGGATAGAGAATAATAGTGACAGCTATGGAAGGAATAAACAGGCGATAAGTAAAGGCAGGTCTTGACTTACAAAATGGAAAATAAAGCAAAAGGATTCAAATGTTCAAACTTAGATGACTGGGATACTTCTGATACCTCTTCCTAACTGGGGGAAATTAGGAGGGGTAGCTGGTAGAGGGTGAAGAAGACTGGACATGTGATTGTGATGAAAGAAATCATGATAACTTACGACAGAGGTTCAAAGAGCAACAACACTGAGAGCAAATGCTTAGCGTTCCTGCCACGCACCAGGCGTTCTTCTAAGAGCTTTGTATACATCCACTCAGTCCTCACAACTGCCCTTTGAAGGGGGCATTATCCCCACTTTACAAATAAAGAAACTGAGGCAGAAGTTTAAAAAAAGCTCAATGTTTAGAACATAATTTAAACTGAAAAAATGATAGCTTTGCTAAGAAACAACAAAACAAATTGCATTTTAAAAAATAAATGACAGTGGCTCTTCGTTACCTTGCTACTTTCATATATCCCGGTAGGCATTGTATCTCTTTCTTATTCCTACCTGGAGGATAGAAGTTAAAAGGTAAAAATAGGATTTGAACCCAAGTCTTTCTGGTTCCAATACTAATATTCTTTCTGATATTACCACCACTCTGTCTTCTGCCATGGGTATGAATCTAGGCAAGGAAAAACAATCCTATTGAATATAATCAAAAGACAGCATAATTTGTCACTCACAGACACACTTTACTGATGTTTGATCAGCAAACACAGATTCAGTAGTTGGTACTTTATTGGTCCTTACAACAACCCCATGAGCTAAGTGTTGGAAGAATTTCATTTAGAGATGAGAAAACACGCACAGAGAGGTTATGTAATTAGAATTAGCTCAGGGTCACATGACTAATAAGTGACAGAACCAGGCTTCAAAGCCTCAGAGTCCACCCTGATAACAATTGCACCATCTACCACTTCCCAACCCGGAACTCAAGAATCAAAGGCTGACTCAATCTCAGTGAAGCCCCAAGACACAATGCCATGTGACAGGTTCATGGCAAGGCGAGCCATGGGGGCAGACTGGACAGAACCGGTTCCTTTCAGAGCCCATGCTACCATCCCTGCCTAGTTGCTCCTAATTTTGTATACTTGGAGCAGGATTTCCCACCTCAACACAACCAACATTTGGAGCTGAATAATTCTGCTGTGGGAGGGCTTTCTTGAGTCTTGTAGGGTGTAAGGACCTCAGGACTCTACCCACTGGACGCCAGTAGCGCTTCCCAGGTGTGACAACCAAAGTGTTTTCAGACGTTGTGAGGGAGCAAGGTGTGTTATGCTGGTTACGAAATATTGATAGGAGGGCTGGCGATTTAGCTCAGTGGCACTGTGCCTGCCTGGCAAGCGCAAGGTCCTGAGTTCTATCCCCGGTACCAAAAGAAAGAAATATTGATATAATGAAATAAAGAGAGAGGAGGTGATAAAGAAAATGTGGCAAACGTTATTAATTGATGAATCTAGATGAAGGGTATGTGGGAGTCTCTTATACCCTCTTACAACTTTTCTATAAGGTAACAATGATTTCTAAATTAAAAATTTAACAAAATAAGACCTATTAGATTATGCCAGGGTGAAATATATGTAGACTTTGAATGCTGTTCACTATCAGATGCCTAGAATAAAGGAAAAACTCCAAGTATAGAATTTAAACATAAAGTAATATCTTAATACTGCTGTCACTGAGATGAACTTTTGACCTATAATGACTTATATTTGCTTTTCTTTGATCTATTTTTTAATATATTAGGACATATCCCCAAAATGCTAGTACACAATATTTTTCAAGAGAATTCTCAGAAGAGGAAAAAGAAATGGTTGGACAATCAAAATCTTTTTCTGATTTTCTTAACAAGGTATCCACAAGGTAAAAGAAAATTGTATATTAAATTTTTTAAATACAACATAAAATGTATATGTAAATACTTATAACACTAATTATTAATAAGCAACTCTAAGAGATCTAGATAGAAAGTATGAAGACAATTATCAGCTGTGCATAAGCATACCCCACATTCTGTAGATTCTTCATATTGTTTAGAAATAGTCTACCCTTCTATTGCTAAGAAATACCCTAGACCTTCTATGACAGGGCCACACCAAATGCAGTGAGAGCGAGTGAATGTGTGAGGATGTTTTCCCAATTGCAAATGAACAATCACAAATTGAGTATACCGTATCCAAATTGCTTAGGGCCAGATTATTTCAGATTTTGTTATATGAGGGGGTTGGAATATTTGCACACACATAATGAGATACCTTGGGATGAGTCCCAAGTCTAAACATGCTGTTCATTTGTTTCATATATACCTTAAGTATTAGCCTGAAGGTAATTTTATACAATATTTTAATAATTTTGTGCATAAAACAAAATTCCATGGTATGGAATGTTTTACTTGTGGTGTCATGTTAATGTCAAATAGGTTCAAATTTCTGGATTAAGGATGTCCAGCCTGTATTTGTATTTACCATGATTTCTTTTATTTAAGGCCTTTTCTCCACTCCTCACTCCACTTCTAAGCATCATTGACTTTTATAGGATAATGAAAATAAACATGCTAAGGATAATAAGGACAATTATTATGATGATGATAAAAGTATTTGCAAAAATATCTTTGTAAATGAGAACTTGAATTCAATTCAGACAAACATGTCAGTATTATCGCTCATTCTTGCATTGACTGCCATCCTTACTGACTCTGAAAAGAAACGTCTTCAAAACAACCCCTATTCTCCCCAGGGTCCTGGGCAGAGACCTGGGGCTTCTAAGCAAGAGAAAGAGCTTGACAAGGTCTTATCAAGCTGATGTCAAAATTTCAAAAATTCACTGAATGATTCAGAGAGTATATCACCTATTTCCCACTCATGCGCAAGAAGCTTTCTGCATTGAGAAAGAAACAAGAAAACTTTAAATTTGTTTTCATCTGTCACAATGGTCAGAGAAAAGTGGTCAGATGTCCCATTACCTGGCAACCACTTTAACCTCAAGTATTATGATTCCTCTTAAAAAGACAGACTCTTTTTTTTTTCCTGTAATCAAATGACAAGTCAAGTTAAACAAAAATAGTTCCCGAATTAATCAGTTTATTGCATGCACACAAAAGCAGAATAAGGAAAAATAAGCAAAAGAAATATAGGCAAAAATAGATTTTTAAAAACCTGGGCAGAGTGCTAGTAACAAATCAAACACCATGAATGCAAAGAAATTGTCCAAATTGTCCTGGAGGCCAGCAGTTCTTCAGTCCCTTCATGAGGACACTTTAATAGGCTGTGGATGCTATCAGTTGTCAGCAATGAAACAAAGGACTCGGTCAGGGCCTCCAGTAGCCCGAGCCACACCAGACTGAATGGATGTTCAGAGCAGAGTCCAGCAGGTGATGTCTCCACTGGCAGTCTGCAGGCAGTGGCATTTGTAGATTCAGAAGGTGTATTAGTCAGTTTCCAGATATCAACCATGAGGGAAAAGCCTTCACAGCTAACCACCCTATTTGCATATCAATGCACATCTATGTATCAATGTGGCTATTGGTCAGCCACTTGGCTCAGTTACAGCTTGTGCTACCAAAAAAGACCTCAAAATGGATTTAGTGCATAGTTATATTGATTATAATTAAAATAACAATTTACTTAGGTTCACAAGAATAGCATGACAAAATCATAACACCTCATATCAAAATCAAGTAATCACGGCCTGGAGATTTAGCTCACTGGTTTCACCGCCTGCTGCTCAAGCACAAGGACACAAGTTCAATCACCGGTACCAAAAAAAAAAAAAAAAATTAAGTAATCTTTTAAAATTTTCCTAATAAGAATTTAAAAATGAGAGGTCTGTTTGCATATGATCAATTTCTAGGAAAGACTAGCCTTGAAGAAGTTAAAAAAAAAGGTTCGAAATAAATGGTCCCTTTCAATTGTCATATATATATATATATATATATATATATATATAGTGACTGGTTTTTTTATTCCCTCTCTGAAGTATAGAAAGGAGAAATAAGAACTACGGAAAAAAATGGAAAATTAACACAAGAATTATAATAACATTGGCCCAAAGAATAAATAAGAAACCTATGTTTATACCACTGCTATACTTCTAACTTTAAAATTATTTAAGGTTTATTTAATATTTTTAAATTAATATAAGATTGATTTTGTTCTGAAATAAGGCCCTTTTAGAATTTCTTTCTCATAGAATTTTATTCAAACCATACCTAACAGAATCATTATTTGCAAAAGAAAAAAAAATGATAGGAAAGAAAAATTTTAAAGGGATTCACAAAGCAATCATTTGGAGTTTAAAAGAAAAAAAACAGTGATTCTCATTGGACAAGTTTCGCCATTCTCAAGTTCATCACTGTGAGGAACCACAAGGTTCTTCCTGGGAACGGAGAAACTGGAAACCAAAGGAAGTGCCCTCTTCACTTCCACATTGAGAATCCCTTGCTTATTCTGGCTCTGAGGAAGGAATCAGGAAACCAGACCAAAAGCCCTGCCTCTAACTTGTTCCTGGAGAATAAAATCCCTCTCTGTTCAGGCAGAAACAGAAAGAAATACAGTGCTAAAAATGCTAAGGTTTCTACTTGAAATTGAATATATACAGAGCTGGTCAAAGTTATGGTGCAATAAATCCCTTGGGTGTCATGAAACTTCAGACTGTGGCTCCCACAGGTCAGGAGTGAAGCCCATGACACTACATTTCTAACCGGCTCCAGGCCAAGCTTGGCCCATGGACCACACTTTAATTAAGTACAAGGACCTAGGAAATCCTTCCACCATTCTGTTTGGAATGATGAAGTAGAAGAATTTAACCAATTACGCTGTGGCTCGTAGTATAGAAGATTAGTGACAGAGGCATCAGAAGGGACCCTTTTTGCATTTTAGGAGGCTCTATTATGAGACTTAGTGTCCACATCTGATTGTCTTGTTTTAAGAAATTTATAATTGAAAACTACTCTTACAGCTTGCTACACCTATCAAATACACACACACAGACACACTTGGATTTTTTATCCTTATGGTGGCATTCTACTTGTAGAAAAGCTCCAAGAGGCCTGGAAGATAAGCTGAACTTTCAAACCTGAGCATATAAAAGAATAAATAACATTATAGTAACTATTTAAAATCAAGAGCCTGTCAAATCAGGTCCCAAGGCTACTAAGAGATGATGATCTGAGCACTCATATTGTCCCTTAAACAAACAACATTAGGGCCAGGGATTTAGCTCAGTGGTTCTTCCACCTGCCTAGCAAGCGCAAGGTCCCGAGTTCGATCTCCGGTACCAAAAAAAAAAACAACAACAAGCAATATTAGCATTTTTAGTGGCATAAATCTTCATTTAGGGACTGTCTCATACACTGCAGTAAGTATATGGAATTAAATACAGCTGCTGATCCCAGGCATTGTGGCATTGTGATAACCAAAACCACAGAGCACATGTCTGTGCACACACATACACACTTCTCAACTCCAAGTTGAGAACTTTCCCAACTTTCCCCTTGTTGAGAATCTCTTATTTGTCGTTTGGAGTGTGTGTGTGTGTGTGTGTGTGTGTGTGTGTGTGTGTGTTCACTTTATTTGAGCTCTCCTCATTTCATATAAGTGATCATTTAGCACTGAAAATGCCTTAGAAAATTGCCTTTTGTGTCTGTTTGAGCTGTCCAGGAAGCACCTGAGACCAGCTTAGCAGTAGAGATTTCCTGAGGCTTACACTGTGAAAACTAGAGGAGGTGGGGCAGGGAGAACATCCAGTGAATTCTCAGCCAACCAAGCGGACCTGCAGAAGGCAGGCGGCCTGTGCAGGAAGACTGGCCAGGGGCTGGTTTCCTGGCCGTTGCCTCACTTAGTCACTGGCTGGAGAGAGTGCAGCCTGGTGCGGGAAACTGAGGCAGACCACAAGGTGGCCAGAGGCTGTCAGTTAACACGCTCCTGGGAACCAAATAGCCAGTTCTTGGAAGAAATTCTGAGTAGCACCCTGCCATGAGATTTTTCCTCCTAAGTCATTTATTCACATGGAGTTAGTCATTATTACCAAAGATAATTGAGAAGTATTATTTTTGTTCAATGTACATGAAGTGCTGCTAAAATAGTCATATCACTAAATGCTAAAATCCAACACTTCAATTGCTTTTTTCAAAAAAATAAAATAGTGTTGAAATAGCCCTGCAGCAAAATGAAATTATGAACCTGTTTACTGACGACTGGAAGTCCTTGGCAGAAGAAGAAGGTACCTTTGGGGACAAGACGGATACCCACCTGAAAGAGTTTCAGTCCTTTACCGACCTCCACAGCCAAACCGAGAAAACAATCACCTGTGTCTCATGGCATCCAGCTATCTATGGTGAGATGGACACTGAACTAGTGTTGCTTTTATATGTAAAATTATAAATTAGATCGATTTCAATAAAACAGTTTCTGTTTGCTGAGTGCCAGGCACCTACCAAGTGTTTTCCACACCTTGACTGTCCTGTGCTGCCCCAGCCAACCTGTGGAAGGCACATGTTAGCATCTCTATTTACAATGAGAGGATCACAGCTCTACTCCACAAAGTGTCTTGCTCAGCTCCCTCCGCCTGTGCAATGCAATCTGGATTTAACACAGGCCTGTTGGACTCCCGGGCTGAACTCCCCCTTCCTAGCTCTGCCTCTCTCTCTTCTTTCTTCTTCCCCACACCCCCCACTGGCCCTTTTCTCATAAAAAAGAAACAATTTTTTCTTAGTAAATCTTCAAAGTGCACTGTTTATTTTACACTAACAGCACAATTGGACCACCCACATTCAAGAGCTGAATGAATGGGGGGGGGGGGACTGTGATACAGGGCAGAGCTCTAAGAAAGCTCTTACTCCCCTTTGAAGTATTTATGTTCAACTTTTATCAAATGGAAATGAACCGTGACCATGTAGAAGAGCACCAGCTGGAAGCCCTTCCCCATGGACAGTTGCTGCCAACTTCAATTTCCACTTGTGTTTTAATCAGGACTAATAGCAGTGTCGGTGGCTGTACGACTTTCCTTAGAAGACAGAGTCCACTTTTCTGGTAAATTACTGCTGCAGCCATCATTGATTCTTTTCTGGAGTTTCTCTGATCCCATACATCCTCAGGTAATTAATGAGCGGCCCACATAGTCTAAAACTTTCAGGTATTACTTTCTCATGCACTTTAGCTGTCTTTTATTTTAAAACACTTTATAATCAATTAATAATTAAACCCTTATAAATTTAGGATCTCTTCAATGCACAGCTTGTCATTTAATTTGAACAAAACTAAAATTTATACTTTGTTCACTGAAGTGATATATATTGAACAAATCAATGTTTACTGAAAAAGATCACAAGAGCAATATTTAACTATTTTTCCCCTGATACTGAGGATTGAAACCAGGGAATACATCTCCAGCCCTTTTTGTATTTTTTATTTTGAGAGACTTAGGGTCCCTCTAAGTCACTAAACTGCTCAGGCTGGGCTCAAACTTGGGATTCCCCTGCCTCAGCCTACCAGAGTGATGGGATTGCTAGCATGCACCATTACATCTAACTTAACATATTTTTTAAAACAAAGTTGGGCCAGGGATTTAGCTCAGTGGCACCACACCTGTCCTGCAAGTGCAATGTCCTGAGTTTGATCCCTGGTACCAAAAACAAAACAAAACACTCTTTTATGGGCTTTATTCAAATACTGATTGCTCAGATGCAAGTGGATTTTAGTTTCTCATGAATTTCCTCAATTCCAGGGATCACCACTAGATGATGATAATGAGTAAAGATGACTGGATAGCAGTGGGGAGAAGCCGACTATGGGGACAACTAACTACTCTTCAGCTTTCTTGTTGCCAAAAAAAATCAGAAACTTGGAATTTTGCATGAAATACCACAATTTTAAATAGCTTAATGAAAACCAAACACACACACACACACACACACAAACCCCACTCAGACCAAATCAAAACACATAGCCACAAAAAAATAAGGCTGAAAGTTGGGCTTTTCTCCACAGAATTCTAGTTTCTGGGACCTGCTTACTAGGAAATGCTTTTTAATGTTAGATCATGTTTTTTTCAGTGTTCTTAAATCTAATAATAATAGATTTGTTTCTCTCAGGCCTCACATAATTAAGGCTTTCCTTAATAACCCTTAGCCTCCTCTTCTTCCGAATTCCCGAATTCATCTGAATTAAAGCAATTTGGCTGCATTAAATTCTAGATTTTTTTTATAGACCCAGAGGTCAAAATGATGCATCTCTACCTCTTCTCTATCAGCCTACTTAGCACAAAACAGTCCCATTCTCCAGTGGGTGCTCGGCCACTTCTGGCTCACAGAGCCACAGTCCACTCCTTCCCACAAAGTGTGGCTGTCCTTCCAGGCAGTTAGGAAGAAGAAAGAAAGAGCCTCCTTTTCTCTGTTTGAAAAAAAAAAAAAGCTCTTTGGGCTGGGGATTTAGCTCAGTGGTTTCGCTGCCTGCTGTGCAAGCTCAAGGACCCGAGCTCAATCCCAGCTACCAAAAAAAAAAATAGCTCTTCACAGAGAAGCAAATAATTTTTTAAGGACAAAAGCAAATGATTTATTTTGTCTTTGTTCAACTCAAAACCATAATTGAAAATTGAAAATTTTTATTTTCAAAAGTACACGTTTCTCTAGAGCTCACAAAATACCAAATAAACCCAAGACGGCTCACCCCGATTCTAGTTGGAAACCTTTGGCTCAATGGTGGTGAATGAATAGCCTGCTGAGGCCTAGCTTTGTTCTGGCCGTTACAGTTGAAGAACATGACAGTGTAAGAATTTTGCTTGGTAGGAACATAGCAGAATAGGTGCTAAATCTAAGTATTCCTTCATATTTATTTTTCTCCCACTTGGAGTTATATTACTCTGAAATGTGGACTATTTTCACTGCCAATAACTGCCTATTCTCACATCCAGTGAATTTTGTTTTTTGAGTGGGCACTACGAGCCAGGCTGGTACGCAGGAGGAAACGACAGGATCCTGCCCTCACAAAGCTTATCTGCCACACTTTTTAGAAACACTGATTTCACAATCTTTTTGTTTGGAAAAATTATAACATGCCTCAGTAACTTCATACCCTTTGGGTAGGTGAGGAAAGAGACCTGAGTTCCCATGTGAGCGTTCCCACTCTCGGGTAGGTCCGAGTCCCTGATAAAATTTAACACAAGTGCCTCCCAGAGGTAGAATTTAGGACCAGACTCTACTGCACATTGCTCATCCACTACAAATGCCTATGCTATAAAATTAGACTTTTAACTGTCTTTACTTTTGCTGGCCATGATCTTAATAGGCTTTCTCTCTCTTTTCTTGAATTTGTGACATTTACGGTAGTTAATGCTGGAGAGCCCAGATGATATCTTCTGCTTCAAGTTCTGTCCGAGTGACCCTAACATCATTGCTGGAGGCTGTATAAATGGACAGGTACTTAGAGATTATTACCTTAGATGCTTCTTAATGTAGAAAACATTCTGCAGAAAGTTTCCATTTGGTGGTTTTTTGAACTCAAAGATTAAATTCAGCAGAGGGGAGCAATGCCAATTGTGTGCCAGTCACTATACCAGGAACGAGTGGGTATAAATGGGATAGACATGGCATCAGCACTTGAGGTTCACAGGGTAATCCAGTCACCCTAGCTAATCAAAAGTGGGTCAAATCTACTTGAGTTGCTGAACTAGAACCACATATTGTATAAGAAAAACTTTGTGGAAGAACAAAAGCTACTGCTTGATAAAGAGGTTTCTGAAATTTCTGAGTGTAAGGGTTAGAGGATAATACAGAATTTAGACAGAAACTCACTGGAAAACATACATATAAAATTATGTTTGCTTTTTTCTCCTTTCTTCTTTAAGTTACCTAATTTTATGAAATTTAGATCTTATCCTCCTTTTATGCGTAAAACAAAACAAAACTCTAAAAGATGTTTTATGATTTAAGTTGCAATTTATTTTGATCCAATAGGTTTAAGGATTAAAAGGGTAGATGATCATTTTTGTGTGGTTAAGAAGACTTGCTTATGGTCAAAATGTAAATATCTGCACTTTTTATGTCCATGTATCCAGAACAAAAAGAAATTGCAAGAAAATAAAAATTTCTCCCACTTTCGTTTAATAGTAATTGGTAATGATGAGCCAGAGCCCATTCTCCAAGCCCTGCAAATCCTAAGATGCTTTTTTTGTTCATGACAAAAGAATCATGACTGTTTTAGAATATTTTTTAAAGACATGATAAAATTAAAAATAATTCTGTAACCTTGAGATTTTGTTAATATTTTTGTGTATTTTGTGTGCTTAGTCATTGAAAACTAACCTAAACTAGTGTTTTACTTTATTTCTGATTTTTCAAAAAAAGTGACCGTTCAGGTATATGTAAATTCAAAGTGGAATATAACATTCAATTAAATAGAATCCATCACTTACCAGCCTCTTTTTTATAATTATTAAACAATTGAGGGCCAGGGATTTAGCTCAGTGGTTTCACTGCCTGCCTTGAAAGCACAAGGTCCTGAGTTCGATCCTCAGTACCAAAAAAAAAAAAAATTTGAGTATTTGTACTTAAACTTGGAGAATGTAATTCTGAAGAATTTTGGAAAGACGTTTTTTTCTATGGATCTAAATCAGCTATCACTAGAGTCACACATTCCTATGGACAGAGAAAAAACTTCCTAAGGCAAAGGGTGGCACATGATATTTATCTTGGATTTTTAAATGTACTCATATTAGTACAAGCCCAAGAATCAAATTGCTGAAGAACATTCAGAGAGAACAAAACATTCTTTTTTATTTTTGCTTTAAAAGTTGCTGCTTTACTTAAGATACAGGCTAGATTTGATTTTCCTCTAAGGTGACTGATTTAGCAAGCAGGATAGCAACAGTAGTCTAAACAAAATCTTTTAAGAACCAATTAACTATTTCCTGAAAATGTTCTAATCATATTTATCTCTGTTTTAGATTGTCCTGTGGGATATCACAGCACACGCAGATCGCATAGAAAACATTAAAGCAGATGGTAGTGGAAGTAAAAAAGCCACACTCAAGGTTGGTGGCTTATAACCTGTCTTTTGCAAGTTTGTTTTTCCCATTCAAGAGTTAATTTAAAAGTATATAACAGAATTGCCAAATTTAACAAAGATTCAGTAGAAGAAAGAAAAAAAGGATATTATTTCCCAAGGCTTCACATCTGCTGGTAGACATGTTCTAAATCACTTTCATGTGAGCTTTTCATTAAAAATGGAACAAAACAGGGCCAGGATTTAGCTCAGTGGTTCCACCACCTGCCTCTCAAGTGGAAGGACCCGAGTTTGATCCCCGGTACCAAAAAAAAGGAACAAAACAAGTTTCATCATCCATCCCAGGATGTTAGGGGTTTGGGCTGTTTTCATTATTAAATAAAATGAGGAAACCAAGGAAGTGACATCAGTGGTGTCTTTGAAAGAGTTCTGGACTGAAAGGCCAGGTATCTAGCCTGTATAAAATGAAGGGATTATAATCATTTCTGATTTTTTAAAAATATGCTGTGATTTTGTGAAGCTGTTTCTGTTTTAAGAGTGCTTCAATAAGATTCCTTTGCTCCCAACTCAAACTTACCCACTGCATTGCACAACCCTCCACCCCAATTCTTCGGCCTTAATACTGACAGGTTTTTTACCAACTAATGTTGGGATGTGGCCTTCTGTACATGCACGAAAATAGTCCTTGAAGAAGGGGATGTCCTGGGGTTGGGGATGTGGCTCAAGGGTACAGTGTTTGCCCCAAGGGCCTGGATTTGATGGATTTGTTTGCCCCAAGGGTCTGCAAACAAACAAGTAAAAATAGAATGTTCCATTGATTGTTTAGTAAGCAAATAATACATGTTAAATTTAGAGATAAACTGAAGGTGAAAGTCAATGCTCCTAAATATATATAAAAACACTAATTTATATTTTCTTGGACTGATATATTTCTAAGTTTTTAATTTTAACTGCAATGATGAGTGAAGTATGAGTTCAATCACCAGCTCTTTGAAATGGAACTTTCTTTTAACATTTCTTCAGCCTATATTTCTCCTTGAACCAGACAGTAATAAAGAAGCAATGTATATCAGACACTGTGCTGTCTCTTCAATAGAAAATGGTCATAAGAATGTAATTACAGACATACACTGGCTGGCTGACACATTTGAGGTGAGTCTTGGCAGCTTTGTGTTTTTTCCCTGCTGGATTGTAAATTTTCAAATTTTATCTAATGAAAGTATTTCAAGTCAATAATTCAACTATTGCTGGATTAATTATGGACTCTGAACCCTACATGTATCTTATTTAACCCTTGGCTCTTTTCCATTGCTCTCACCTGCTTAACAACCTCACAAAAGCTCCTATGTTTGGTCCACCATTGATAGTGAAAAGCTGAAAGAGCTTACATTTCTTTCTTTTCTTTTTTCAGTACCAGGGATCAAACTCAGGACCTTGCATTTGCGAGGCAGGTGCGGTGCCACTGAGCTAAATCCCCAGCCCTGAAAGAGCTTACTTTATAATAATAACCAATAGTGAAATTATGGTACATCCTCTATATGTTATAATACTAATACAATAATTTATAAATACATAGGTGAATGTTCAAATTATGTTAATTGAAAAAAATCTCAGGATAAAAATTTATATGCGTTCTAATGAAAACTATGTAAAAATGTTTTGGTAACAAAACACTTAGACAAGACCATATGACAGAACTGTGTTTGATTATGAACCTATTTTCCAAATTTCTGGGACAGAATTATGTTTTTATTAAAATTTAAAACAAAAAGAAAATTGAAAAGGTAAATAGCTATGAGGAAAAAACTTTTCTAGGTAAACAGAATTTACTGTTCTTGCATTTGAAAAATAGATTAACAGACTCGGCTATGTCTTTGAGAATCGAAGTGAAATATCCTGTCAACTTGTCACCTGTTCGGCAGATTGGTATGTCTTATTTCAAGCGTTTTTCAACACGTTTTCATGCAATGTGTTGCTCCTTAGATGCTCCTAAAAACAGTGTCCTCTTCTCCCCAAATAATCTTTATTACAGCAATCAAGTTCAATGTAACTAAAAGATAGAATAGTTATAGGTTGTGCTGGTGCAAAATAATCTTTTTTATAGGGATAAATAGGTTGTAAAAAAATTAAGTAGCAGCAGAAGGGGCTGTGGAGTGGCAGGAGAAGGTGTCATGACCTTAGCAGTAGCCATGGGCAAGGGACACCTGATTAATCCATTGGATTATATACTTTAAATGAGTGAACTTTGAGCTATATCATAATAAAGCCCTTATATTAAAAAAAAAGATTGTCCAATTGCCAAATTCTGTTTTCATTTATGTTAATATCAAGAAAAAGTTCATTAAATGACCCAATAGTGGTATCATTCTCTAAAATATGAAGTGCAAAACAATCCCATTTAACAAGCATCTTAGTTTCAGAGACACTAGAATACACCCATGGTAACACTATTAATGTGTAGCAGCATTAATGGTAGTCCTGAAGTTACTCTTCTCATTTGTACTTAATAAAAAAAAATCTATGTAAACTTTCTTTTAGCACAATCTGTTTCTGGGATATTAGACCACAGAAAACTTTAACCCCTCTACTGACAGAGAAAAAGAAAGAAGAAAGTATTGAAGTTCCTTTTGATGTACCATCTACATTTCTGCACCTAGACCTCTCCTGGAAACCTTTCATTAAGGTAAGTAACAAGGGATTAGGTTCATCCTATCTGCTTGCAGAAATACTTGTTTTGCATACATGTGCACATCTACATGCCCTCTAAAACCAGAGGAGTTCAAATTAACACAGGACTTTATAGTTCGGGTATTTATTCAACCAGTAAATCCCTCGATTGAGGGCTATTTTGATACCTGGCTAGACCAAACCAGAAATCAAAATAATTGTGAATTTGAGATTGAGATCTCATGTATAAGCAAACCACAGATTACAAATGGTTAGTGTAATAATTATTCAGTTGCATAACAAACACTTGAAATCTGCCAAGTGCTCAGGTTAGCCCAGAAAAGCTGATTCCCTCATTAGAGTCAAAAGTCTGCTTATTTTGCATATCAATAGTAGGATATGATATTGTTGCAAAACCTCTGACCACACAGAACTGAGAAGTTATTGAATTGTAGTTATTATTTGTATTTACCTTGAATCACAGATCTTGAAGAAAAGCAATTTACCTTGAGAAACATGGCTAAGGATATGGAAAGTGAGAATGTACTTTTTCTTTAGAATGTCTGATTTTCATTCCAAACTTAACTTTTTTTTTTTATTTGATTTGTAAGTATCACAAGAACTGCATTATTAAGTACTGTATTTGCTTCCAGTGAAAGAAAAGCATGGAGTGATGAAAATACAAGATGTGTTCAAACATATGGTTAATGTTTAAATTTTTTTTAAACATTATTACAATAAAAGACATATTGTCATTAATCCTCCTCTAAATACTCCCCTTTGCTTCAAACACACTTATCCCATTATTATCACTTCTGAAGTAATTCTTCTGGAAGGCCTCTGTAATGAGTGCCTTTAGTTGCACTGTCATGAATGCCTTGATGTCCTGAATCCATTCAAAACGTTTACCTTTCATTTTCCTTTTGACTTTGGGGATGAGCCAGAAGTTGCATGGCACCAGATCTGGTGAATAAGGTTGATAAGGACACACCATAATGTTTTTAAGAATCTGCCTTTCCACTGGCAGCAGGATGCACTACATCTTTTATCAGATTTCATAAAGACACAAAAGAGGACTTCCAGAACTGATGTAGAAAGTAAGAACAATGGAATACATATGTTCAGAACAGGAGGGAGGATTTTGATGAAGATTAGTGGTAATGTGTCTTTTACTGTAATATTTTTAAAATATTAAAATATGCTCTGTATTTTTTAATCAGCCTTTGCATTTCTGAAGTAACTAGGAAAGAACTGGAAAGAAAGTTTTAGAAATTTTCTAGGGTAAGATTTACTGAATTGTGGAGAGTTAAAACAGACAAAAAAATAAGCAAAAACACTTAATAACTGCATTTCACACGGACAAACATCCTGAAGCAGTAAAGTGGGGAGGGAGCAGTGAAGGAAAAATACACGAGACAGTTTGCCATTCCGGCCACCAGGGCATCGTGAACACTCAAGGCTACTTTTAGAACTCAGGGCCACAGGAATCCCTGAGGGGAAATGGAGGCAGCCAGATGGATGCAAGGTACCACCACAACTCCCTGGATTTCATTTAACTGAAAGATTTAGGGAAGAGGGGACCAAATCATTTTATGTAAAAATTAACCAGGATGTATTACGCGGAATAGAATAGTGACACTTGAAGAAAGAAAACAATTCATAAGAGTAGGAATTTGAAAATGTGCTCCTGACAAGCTCCCTTCTGTAGGAAGGTTTTGAGAATGTGGTTTAGGTGCTTTTCATGGGGAAAAGCAACCTGGAGAAAGGAGAAAAGGGAAAGAGAGAGGAGTGGATTTCCCCACAATCTTGGGTCAGAAGGAACAGGCAAAAATAAATCAGTAAGGATTTATCTTTAATAAGGACATATCTTAAGAATATATCATCCTTTAATTTGAGGATATGTCTTTCTTTTATGTTCTCCCGAAAGATGAAGCTATCTAAAGGCGAAACAAATTTAGACCACTGTCCAACCAAGATAAGCCTGAGTGAAGACCAACTTCTTTCCAAATTATCAGGTAACTAACTGCCTTTGGCTATTAAAAAGGTATTTAATAGTTTGAATATTCTCATCTGTTTATGCTATGATGAGTTACTTACTAGAGCAGTCTAATTCATAAAAAGAATAAATAAAATCAAACCATCAGGAAACTTTACAATGGCTATAACAGCGGTAGCCAATACATTATAGTTGCCTATATACACAAAAGATGTGACAGAATTCAGTTCTTATCTCTAAAGGCAGTCACTATGGTCATTTCTTGTCCCCTTTCAAGAGTTTTATGGCATTTTGCATCCTCTTTGGGTGCATTGCCAGGTATCCACTTACTCTTGCCATACTTGGGCTTGTTAACAAGAACACATTCATTAGTTTCTTGACCACACTTTGCTATTGATCCAATACTGCTTCTCCACTGACTGGGGATCACAAGTCCTAGCCATTCCACCACCTTTTCCTCTTCAGACCTGTTTGCTCAGTGCCTGGTACTCTGTCGCCATCTAGTGGCCAGGAACCACTCACCTTTTTGCCTGCCATTTTAGGTGTATGACTTTTCTAAACACTGTAATGAGTATAAGAAGTTCTATGTTTACTTTAGTGAGAAAGACTTTGTTCTAAATGATTTTGGAATTCTTCTTTTGGAACAGCTTTCAGGGACTGCCATATATGTATTCTAAGCAATGTGACATAGTGGTTAAGTGTTGATTCTGGCCTTGATGGTCTGGATTTAACTCTCAAAGCCACAATTTGTTATTTGACCAGGCCTTATTAGTTTACCTCTCTGTGACTTAATTTATCTTTTGACCTGTTTGAAAATAAAAATATAAAAAGAGTGAATGATAAAGTTACTATCTGATAGGATATTTTCAAGGTAAACCAAGTTAATATACATGAAGCTATAAGCACAGTTGATAGTTAATTCACAATAAATGTTAACCACTGTGTGTTAAACCCTGTGCAAATTACTTAATCTCTCTGAGTCTCTGTTTAGTTAACCTTGGAGGAAAATTAATGCATAATGACCTTGCTATTTATTGTGAGGCTGAATGAAATGGTTCACGTAAAGCCCACAGTTTGGTGCCTGGTCTGTAGTGAGCACTTAATAAATGTTAGTTGCTAGTATTATTGTTGCTAGTAGTGAAAAGTCCATGACCTAAGAAGATGATTTCAATTTGCTAAATATCCAAAGTACGTTCACTCAAGTTTGAATAAATGTAGATGATAACATTTTTCTATGGCCTCATCCTCTTTGACTAAAAGACTATTTCTTTGGAACTCATATTTCGATTAGCATTTGTGATTTTCCTATGCTGTTACTTCTTCAGTTTCTCTTCCACTGTTTTTTCCCCTGGCTCTATTTTGCCTTGCTGCCTCTACTCTTGAATTGATCCCAACTTTAACTTTAGCTGTATGCTTCCTTCTGTATATACTTTCCTTTGGGTAGCATGGTCTATCTCCATGGCTCCAACTTTCACCTCTGGTAAGAATTCTCCACCTGACCATTTCCGGTCTCCTGGTTTTGAACCTGATCTATTCTCTCAAAGTCAACATGTGCAGACTTGAATTCATAACTTGAATCATCACTGCCGCTCTCCTCATGCCCCCACTTCCAGTCCTTCCCTCAAAATAATTATGTCTTCCTTTAGAACACAGCTGGCGTATGCCTCTTGTGTTCCTTTAGCAGAGGTAACTCCATAGATCAGGGTCTCTTTGTTAGGCCAGAGGCCTCCAAACTTTCTGATCTCGCACCTCATCAATAAACATTTTTAGTACAAATTTCCAATGTATATACATTTATTTACAACATATATACTTGTTTTCTCTACTAATATATTTATGCACATTATTTTTAAAAAAGAAAAGCAGAAACAAGAGTTCAGAATCTGAAAGATTTGAATGATTTTAATTTTTTATATTAAATGGATACAACATTCCTGTTTGCTTTTCCTAAATGTGCTACAGCCTTTTAATAAGAATAATGCAATTGTGCCTAGTTATTTATTGAAATGTTAATTTACACTTTGGAATACCGCTATTTAAAGTTCTTGGCAGGGATAGTGGTGCACACCTATAATTCCAACACTCAGGAGGCAGAGGCAGGAGGATTTCTGGGAGCTCAAGGACAGCCTGGGCTTCATAGTGAGTTCAAAGGCAAGACCCTGTCCCTAAAACAAACAAACAAACAAAACAAGCAAAAAATAAATAAATAAAGGTTCTTTAAATAGCTACGGTTGTCTTGTTTTTAATGCCTTAACTACTAGAAAGACCTCTCAAAGCATATAGATCCAAAAACAAAGTGTTACTGACTATACCACCTAAATCATAATAATCATTTTTGTATAGATTTATGCTAATTGTTTTTAGTGCAATATGTATCTTTAGCATAGCTGACATTTTTTTGTCCTGTTTTAGGGGTTTTTTTGTCTGCCTATTGACTCTTTTTTATGCTTGTTGTTGCTTTCTCATGGGTAATATATTCCAGAGCACATGTTGAGTAGGTGTGATGAGACAAGTTTTATGAACATATAATTCTCTACCATCTTTTCCAGAAATTTAGTACCTTTGAAACACTAATAAAAGACCTGTAAATGCCCAAGACATCTTTAAGAGAACAGAAAATCAAATAAACAAACCTAAAATATGATCCTTTTTTTTTTTTTTTTTTTGGTACCAGGGATCCAACTTGGGTCCTTGCACTTTAGAGGCGGGTGCCAGAACCACTGAGCTAAATCCCCGGCCCTGATACATTTTTTTTAAATTTTGTTTGTATAGTCCCAGAAAAGTCACTAGAGAGAAAAATATCAATGCTTTAGTAGTGGTTTTCTCTAGAAGACATAATAGATGCTTTGAAGACATAATAATAGGTGCTTTTTGTTCTTTTACTCATGTTTTTTCTATTTTCCAAAACTTCCATAAATAATATTTATTAATTTTAGATTCATAAAAGTAGTTTATTGTAAAACAAATGGAATCAATTGTTTAAATAAATAAGTTTATCTGTAAAATATGTTATATAGTATGGTACAGTCATTGACGTTTTTGTTTGAGAAAAGGGTTCTACTGCTAAATTAGTCTAAAAATACTTGTACTTGTGTCTGCCACATTGGGAAGGGAAAGGAGAGATGTGTGGACAGATGTGTGTGGCAAGGGACATGAAATATAAATTATATTTTAAAAGGTCTCTTACTGCAAACATGTACTTCTTCTACCCTTGCTTCTCTGAAAGACAAAATGTTAACCCAGACCAAAGCAGTAGAAATGAACCCGTACCGAAATCTTGAAGCTGGATTAGCCAATCTTCTCAAGCCAATTGACGACTTCTGCACCAAGTTCTTTGTGGGAACAGAGGTAAATTGGAGCTATCTGCTTTTCAAATTAATGCTTAATAACACCAACATGAGGAATGGAGGGGTTGAAGGGAGGGCAGGGGAAGAGGGAAAAATAAGAACCAAGAGAGACAATGTAAAGGTGCAAGTTTCCAATGATGAATGTCATTATATTGTGTACCTAAAATGTACCAATAAAATAAAAATTTAAAAAAAATAACACCAACATATAGTATTATAACCCCATTGTACATGTTTGCCCTATGGTTTACAATACTTACACAATTTCATGTTGGGTTGGGTTTTTTTGGTGTTTCTTTTTTAAATTTTTTTTATTGGTACACTTTAGGTATACAATATAATGACATTCATCATTGGAAATTTGCACCTTTACATAATCTCTCTTGGTTCTTATTTTTTCCCCATTCCCCTGCCCTCTCTTCAACCCCTCCATCCCTCCCTATTTACAAAGACTTTGTTTCCATTTTTTCATTTTCTCCTATTCATTCCATTCCCTTCTTTCCTTTCCCCTACTCCTCCCACTTCCTGTTCCCCTTTGTCCCTTTTCTTCCTATTTCACATTATCTATTATACCTTTTAGTCCTTATTTACACTTTCAGTTTCTCACGCTAGAGAAACTATTTGTTATTTACTTGTGTCCTATTTATTTCACTTAAGAGTATGGCCTCAATGTGCATCCATTTAGCTATAAATGTCTCTAATTTCTCATTTTTATGGCTGAGTAGTACTCCATTTTATTTAAAAAAACACATTGTCTTTATACAATTTCATGTTTTAATGTGTTTATTTGCACTTCAGATTTTCAAACTTATGCCTCATAGGTTCACATTTAAAAGTTCCTTTACAAACATAGAAAAATCTATAAAAGTGAGGACTCTTTTAACTAATGAGGTATTGATCAATCTGCAAATATTCATCAAATACTTCCATTGTATGGAAGGAACAATGCTAAGTATTATAGATTTACTAAGAAAATATATTATTTTGCTAGGTGAACACAACTTAGTAGAAAATACAGTGAAAAACTCACTCAATTTTTAAAAATAACAACTGTACATAATAACAATAATGACTGTCATGTTTCACCATCTACTATAATAATTACTAGAGCAAGTTCATATTTATTGGATATTATTATGTATCAATGCCTGTACCAGGTCTCCCTTCCAAATTATATCTCATTTAACCTCAGCAATCTTGTAAGGTTGATATTATTATTTCCATTTATGGTTGAAGAAATAATTCTCAGTACCTTATCTAAAGTCAGACAAAGGCAAAGACACTCTTTTCACCCATGACTCCCTTTTCCTAAAATAAATAAAGGGTTTTCTCCCAGACTAAGCTACAGCTTAGACTCATCAGAATGTAAACTGCATTCACACTTTGATATTCTGAAATTAACCAATGCCACAAACTCTGGAGAGTGTAGCACCTGCCAAGCACAGAAATAGGCACTGGGCGCGGGGATGAATAGCACAGTGCTTCTGTCCTCAAGGTTCTTTCTGCTCAGGTAAGAAGCAGACACATTAACAGCGTGATAGCAGCAATACCCACCCAGAGGCCACTTGGACAAGAAAGAGGAGGGTGGGAGGATGGGGGAGGTGACCCAGGAGCTGACTAGACATTAGCAATCGAAAGGACATCTGAAAGATCAAGAAGAGAGTAGAGTTTCAAGTAGAAGTAATAAGCTGAACAATACTTCGAAGTTATGAAAGTCCAAGATTTGTCTGGAGATAAGGGAATAGTTTGGTCCACCCACAAAAACTTTGGAAACTCAGGAGTTGGGACTCATACATGTCTCCATAATCACCCATATTCTCCAATCACTGTGTGTTGATAAAAGTAACTTGTTTTTTGCTCAATTAAAATCAAGTGCAGAAATGATTTTTGAGGCCTTTCCTCCAACGATATTGAATTATCATTTGATCATACTGACCTGTTGCTTTGTCTTGGTTTTAATCAGTCTTAGCACATGGACATAAGGTCTTTTTCTCTGAAATTGTCATTGTATTCATCAGGAACCTGTAATATTTTTAGGAAGGTGAAGTGATATACACAGATTGGAAAATGGAAAGAGATCCTGACACTGGCAGGATGATGGGTAAGTTTGTCGGTTAATCTGTCGTGGTAAGATCTTCCTTAAAATTTAAACCACCTGAAGGAATCTTGTGACGTCCTAAGTAACTTCAGTCCTGGCCCTGCTGTTATTGGGGAGTGCACTAACCCTTCTGACATGTGCACCATCTCCCAAATGGAGGGCTTTGGCTAAGTGGCATAGTTGTCACCTGGAAGCTTGCTAGAAGTACATAAGAAAATCATGAATCCTACCCCAGGCCTGCTGAACCTGAATCTGGATTTTAATTAGATTTTCTAAGTAGAACACTGGCATACATGAGCTTAGATCATGAGACACTTGAACAATTTAATTTAAAAATGACTTCTAGGATCTGGACTGTGAATAGCTGAGCAGAGGTATGTGGGTCATACCCAAAAAGGAAATTTGGCTTCCTGTCTTTAATAGACTCAGAGCCTAGGGACTCACCAAACTACAACTGCTTTAAAGTTTTGAATTTTATCATGGCATGAAAACATATCTAAACTATACTTCAAAGTTTGGAATAACCACCAGCAGAAGATATTTCCAAAAGAGGATCTCGTCAGCCTATGGGTTGTTGGGAGGAGCGGAAAGTGAGTGATCCATAGAGGTCAGAGCCACAGCCTGCAGGGGACAGCTTTTGGGGGTATCATCTTCACCTCAAACCTTACCCCGCTGCCCCACCTTTAGTTCTACTGAGTCTGGCTCCAGAGACCAGAGTCTACCTCGGACCTGGGAACACTTTCTGTCTGGGCCATGCCTCTAGGGTAGCCATTTTCATCTCGAAGCAAAAGCACTTCTACTTTTCTTCTATAGTATCCCCTGGCCAGAAACCCAAATGTTAACACTGGGGCAGCAAGAGATTGGTATGACCCAAAGGAGGTTCAAGTGCACACAGAACTGATTTTCTGCTTTCCATTCATTCTCAATTCCATGACTTAAAGCTGAACTCAAAATTAGATATTTGATATAGTTAAGTGCATGAAACTTCTTATATCCATTTATTCAGTAATTCATGAATGTTAATTGTGCATACACTGCACATCAGACACTATATAACATGACAGGGGTCTTGGTTACACCCTTGGGACACAAGCTGAGGGCTTCATGACAGAACTTGGATGTGCACATGTAGACACCAATGCCTCCTGATCTCAGAGATTCTCTTGGGGTTCTATCCTGCTCCTGCAGTCAGATTCCTAAACTGCTTTTGAGGGAGACTATGACAAATAGGTTTATTTATTTTAAGTAGATTTTATTCCACTTATAAAATAACCAGTGATAATAAACTTAAAACCTAAGAGCTTTATGTTCAAAACTTCACTGAAGTTGGTTTGTTCTTTGCTTCTTTCATTCATTCATCAAATCATTATTGAGAACCTACAATGTGCCAGGTATTAGAGATAAAAAGATGACTAAGATATTTTTCTTCTATAAAGGTGTTCCATGATCTATTAGAAATTCAGGCAAATGAACAAAAGTGGCATTATAGTGCCATTAGTGCTGTAAGTAAACTCAAACTCGTGGGCATCCAGGGAGGAGGTGATTCTCTTGGGCTGTTAAGAAACCTATCAGAGACACAGTTGATCTGGGTCTTGAAGAGTGGATTGAAATTTTCCAGATGGATAAAATGGGAGAAGACATTCAAGGTAGAAAGAGCAAGGACAAAATCATGGAAGCCCAAAAGAGCAGTGAACAGTGAACAGAGGGGGAGATCACATGGCCAAACTATAGCCATAGAGAGGACAACAGTAGCAGGAGAGGTGACAGGAAGCACATTTGGGTCCAGATGACAAAGACCCCCCAGTGCCCTCCAGATGACTTTATTCTAGAGCCACCATATAATAAAAAAAAAAACCCTGGCAGGAGAGCAGCGGCTGGATTAGTCTGTTGGTAGAACTTGTAATAGAAACAGGATGACTAATTGCAATATCCCAGATGAGAGATGATGAGAACTGAAATACAGGTATGGTGACAAGGACAAGTGGCCAGGAAAATGTGGGATAGAGAGACTCAGAGGTCAATATGCCAATGGGATGTGGGTGGTCAGCACAAAGAGCAGTTGCTTTTAACTTTTTGGCATTTAGTTCATTCAAAAAAAGTAGGAATAATAGCTTTAACCACTGACTATAAAGGATTATGATGATAGTTTAAATCATCAGTCAAGTATTTTGTAATGTAGAAAGCTGAACAACCTTTTTTTTATTCCCATTGAATAATGGTTGAAGTACTAGGAAACTCAATCTGTGGATGCTCTGCACTGCAAACTATGTGTTTTCTTTACATTCAGTAAACTGGAGGCGTTTTCTTTGGGAGCGTCCAGCCCCATGACTTCCTGACCCCTGTTGCTTTTCTCAAATACACAACCGGCAGGAAGGGAATTTCTTCTTAGGAGAAACTTCTGGAAGACAAGTTACTCCCACTGAGATGTATGTGATAAAGAAGGCCAAATCAAACATTTCCAGATAATCTGAGAGACAAGCCAAAAAATTCAGACTTTGAATGATACAAGTGACATAATTATTTCATGTAGTCTACTCTCAAATCCTCAAACATCATGTGCTGGGCACTCTTCCAAGCACTTTCTAATGCATTAGCTCATGTTGTGACCCTCAAGGCAGCCCTGTGGAGTTGCTACCATGGGTGACCATGCAGTCTGCCATCAGCGCCTGTGCTCTTAAAAACCTTACTGTACCAAATTCTCCACTAGACAATGACTCTGGAAAGTTGCCTCTTTGTTGATTGTAATTGTCTTATAACCACCTGGCCTGGAGGCACTGGCACTTCATTTAGCAACTTATGGACAGCCGCATTCATTGCTGAATGGCTCACAGGTCTTTCAAAGGAAGAGTAAGTTATTATGGGCTTCAAGTTTAAAAAGCAAACCTTATAGTTGTTGACATTGCAGTCACTGGTAATCAGTATGGTCTCCAGAGTCCTGGAAGGCCCTGCTCACTAGGATGACATCATGTCTAGGAAAGCCACTAACCCTGTGGGCCAGGACCATGCTCCAGTAATAAAGATGCTGATTTGTAAGCTGTTGTGCCTTACCAGGAATATTCTAGTTCACCTCAAGATGGCTTTGGTCAGAGGGAAATTGGCCTTTTTTTTAAATCCAGAAATACATTTTAAAAATTTATTTATTTATCCCTCATTCCCTTTTTAAAAAACAAAATTTTAAAGTGTTGTAAAATATACAAAAAATTGACCATCTTAATTACTTTTAAGTGTACAGTTCAGCCAGCATTAAGGACATGCACGTTGTGTAACCAAACTCCCAGAATTCTTTTTTTCTTGCAAACTGAAATTCCATACCCGTTAAACACTAGCTCCCCACGCCTTCTTTCTCTCATCCGTGACGGTGAACCTTTTAGGGCTTTTAGTGATAACAAACAACCCACTGCGGCATGCGTGCCATAGGTTCACCACCACTGCTGGGCTCTTACAATTACCGTTCTGCTTTCTATCTCTATAAATTTGCCTAAGCTAGGTACCTCAGGTAATTGGAGTATTTATCCTTTGGTGACTGGCTTATTTTATTTAGCACTATGACCTCAAGTTTCACCCATGTCGTAGCATCTGTCAGAATTTTCTTCCATTTTAAGGATGAATAATACTCCATTGTATGTGAATACCACATGTTTATCCATTCATCCATGGGGAAAACGAGTTGCTTTCACCTTTCAGCTATTACAAATGATGCTGATGTGGACAAATATCTAACCAAACCTCTATCTTATAAGCTTCTTACAAGATGTAATGGGTATTTTCTGCTTAATGTCCTATTAGTGTTCTGGGGGCCATGGGACATCCATCCCTCACATAGCCATTATATGATGAGATTCAGAATATTAGTGGTTTTAGTATCAATTAGCTAGACATTGTAGTTTAGTCTTGACAGGAATATTTTTTTATGGCCATCCCTGGATTTTGGGGTATGAGTAACAAAGAGTGAGAAACATCCAGCTCTGCAGCCAGGTCTGGGGGAAGGAAACCCAAGGAGACTCCCCTGCACTCTGGCCAAAGAGATCAGAGCAGCAGGAAGACCCGGGAGCCCTGCACAGGGACTAAAGGGAACACTGGTCTCTGCATCCTGCTTAAGTCTTCCCCAGGACAATAACTGGACACTGCACAGAGCCGATTGCTGTGGTCAGAAACATGGCTATTATTCTCAACACATCATATTTTACTCTTCCTAGTCAAGCTGTCTCTACATCCCAGCTCACGGGCATTTCTTGACTGTTCACTCTTCTCCACAGCACCTTAATCCAAGCCCCATTTTGAGCAGACCTACCACAACAGTCTCCTATGCTGTCTGCCTCTGCTTCTACTAGCCTCTAATCTGGCAGTGGTGAAGCTATGGCACGTGTGCTATTTGTATCACTGAAATCTCTAAACGGTTTACCATCATTGCATCCATTCCCCCAAGAGCAGCCAGAGAACCTTTGGAAATGTCAATCAGATTGTCTTACTGTAGGCCTAAAGGACTCACTGAAACACACTACACTTGGACAATGAACTAAACTCTTTCTTGTTAGGTCCTGTGTGGTCTGGATCCTGTTCACTTCATGTCTCATGCTGGGATTAATAGATTCCAGTCCTACTGCCTTCTTCAAGTGTACAGAGGCACCAGGAACTATGGTGTGCATCCTTCCCTCTGTCTTGAACACTTCTCCACACCAAATTCTTCCCATGCCCAGCTGCACTCAGGCCTAAATGACTCTTCTTCAGAGAAGCCTTTTCTGACCATTCAGTTTAAATTATGAACATTCCTTGTTTTTCTTTCTTGTAATATTTTCTCTTTCATAACATTCTTTATGCTACTATAATTGCATACTCTAGGATTTGTTTATTGAGCTTAGTTATTTGTTTATTGAGTTTATTGAGACTTTCCCACCAGAGTGTAAGCTCCATGAGAGCAAGATCATGTTCTCTTGCTAGCCATTATTTATCCAGTCATCTACAGTGCTTAGCACCCATGGGCAATCTACAGATATTTATTAACTCATTGAATGAATAACAGTATGAATATTCCTCTGATCTTTAAAAGTAGCCTTCATGGGAAGTTTCTTATACTCTCCATAAAAAAAGGAAGAGCCATCCCTTGACTGATTGAAAAACAGCCTTTTTCACTCCCGCAGCAAAGAAACCCGTGTGCCTCTACTCTGTCCATGATGGAGCTGTTCACACCGTTCAGAGATCACCTTTTTACAGTGACATTATCCTCACCGTGGGGGGGTGGAATGTGGCCATCTGGAAAGAAGGTGTTATGGTAAGTGGCCTGCAAAATGAGGGAGTGAGTGTGTGGTCCTTTGTAATAGAGAAAGAGAATAGGAACAATGGCTTGTTCTGACATGACAGTGCCTTTGGGGTACTTTTTAGAGAAATGAGAACAGATGGCCTGGGCTCCAGCTTGTCAGCAGAACAGTGTAAGCCTTTTGAAAACACAAATCATTTGCTTTTTTTCCTAAGGGAAGGAAACAACATTGCAAGTCCCTTGTTCTCCAAAACCTAACAGTCTTCTTGGAAATACATAATGTGGGAAGTTGACTTGACTTAAATTTTTGTCTTCCTTTAAAACATAAGATGGGAGGGCCAGGGATTTAGCCAGTGGTGCTGCACCTGCCTGGCAAGCACAAGGTCCTGAGTTCCATCTCCGGTACCCCCCACCAAAAAAAAGAAAAAAAAAATAAGATGGGATCCTGACTATGGGATGAAGTCCCAAAAGAAACAGTGGCCCTTACATCTTTTCTTTTGCATCAGGAATTCTTTGCCAGGGTCAGAAACTAGAATGAGTAGGCTCAGGGGTCTGTCACCAGGAGACCATAGCTTGTCCAAAGACACACATGGAACAAAGTAAGTGGACACAAGAGTCAAGAAAGAGGCTGGTTCCAGGCAAACAAAAGCCAACCTACCCAAAGCTAGAAAGACTGATAAAAATCCAGTGAAACAAGGGGATAGGGAAATCAGAACATTTTTTTGTAATGTAAATTGATTTGTCCTTTTGGTGAGAAGTTTGAGATTACTAAAAGCTGAAAAATGTGTATGTCTGTATATTTCACAGCTAGACTATATATATATATTAGAATATATATATATTAGAATATATATATTAGAATATATATAGAGAAAAAATATATAGGTCATGATACATATGACCTAATGGTTCATCATCTAAAATTGTCAACTTACACAAGTAGTTTGACAAAGGAAGTTTCAAAATGTGTATTTGTACAAATTTGTCATTTAAAAACTGGAAACTACTTAAATATCCATCAACAAACAGACTTCTACTTTATATCAATGCATTTCTGTGTGTTTAATTTTTTTATAATTAACAAGTTTTGTAGTTTAAGAAAATTCAAGCAAGATTGTCAAACGACTATGCAGGGATCAAGAACCTGGTTGGCCATAGAAACTGAAATAACTGGAAGAAGTGGAAAAGAAGAGGTTTGAAGTGTCATTTCTGAGGAGCTCAGGAATCCATGACATTCATCTTATCCCACAGCAAAATTTCTTACACATGTGGGCAATAACTCCGTGATTTAGTTTAGTCACTGCAGGTGATGCAGACGTGCACACACCTAATTGATAGATGGACTCTGACAGTTGATTGAAAGAAAGTTCCAATCTTCTTTTTCTATGAAAACCTCCAAAGTAGGGAAATTACCCCAAGGTAGAGGAAAACAAAGATGATCTCACGGTGTCTTGGTGGTCTAACATCTCTTCCAAATATATTTGTAAGTCATTAGATGCTCCCATCTGAAGTTATTTAATGAGAATTTGCCATCTCTGCTGTTGATTTTCAACGTGCAGTTCATAGCTGGAATTAACAGACTCTGTTTGCTTTTACTGGCTACTAGAGCTGTTTCCTTGGGAAACAGATACCTGATAGGAAAATAAAAGTAAAAGCAAATCTGCATTTATCTAGCGTCCACAAATCTTCACAGAAATAGCAATGCATTTAGAAGCACTTGGATTATTAGAACCATCAATAGCTCAACTGGAAGGTTTGATCTTTGCCAAAAAGCAAGTAAAACAAGCAAACTAATGGCTTATGAATGCCTCATCCAAAAACCCTACAACAGAGGGAAGTAAGACTTTCTAGTGGGATAATTTTGCAGTTAAAGGTCATGGCCAGCTGAGTTGTACGTAAAATCATTGTGTGTTTCCCTTGAATAATAACAAAAGTTTTAATTGTCTTTTTAAAATTTTGTTTAAAGACTGGACCCCTCCTTCGGTCATGCTGTGCTGCAAAAAGGTACACCTCAGGGCACTGGTCCCTGACAAGGCCTGGTGTTTTCTATATTGGCCGAGAGGATGGATATGTTGATACCTGGGACCTTCTGGAAAAAACCCACGAACCAGCCCAATCACAAAATATTTGCATAACTATGATCACTTACATCAAACCTTGGACATTTTCTGGTATGTTAATTCTAATCAAACAAGCTAAGTTGTTTTGGGTGACTCGAAAATATTTTGGTGTTCGTCAGAAAAGCCTCCAATATGTTTTCTTAGCTTTTTGTTTTTCTTCCCATCTTACCTTTTTCATCTCTTCCTTTCTTGTCCTGTTCTTTCCCTTCTCTTTTCCAATATTCCCTTCTCCTCCCCATTCTTCCTCTTTTTTTCCCTCTGTCTTGCTCTCAAATCTTGGATAAATTCTGAGCTTCTCTCACTGTTCTGATTCATCATCAATGATTTCTAAGACAAGAAGTTATCTGAGAGACTGATTTTGAAATATACAATTGAAAACATCCTCCTTATCTTCTCCAGGTCTGACAGGGTGATCCCTAAATCTTTACTACTTTTTGTTGTTGCTTTTCCAGATAGAGTAAGTGTTGTTTCTTTAGCTTTTAAGTCATATTTTTCATTACACCACTTGTGTTTCTCCCATGGCCGTATCAAGTAATTCTCTTCATGAGACTAATTCTCTGGGGTTATTTATCTATAAACTTTAATCTTTGGATTGAGTAGGAGGGAACAAAGCAAGCATAAATACAAGGATGTGTCTATGAAAAAGTAATTATTTTGCTCTAATGTTTCTCTTTCAACCAAATAGTCCTTTCTGTACAAATCTCATGTTAGCCTTTCCTAAAAGAAGTTTCCTTTATTCCCAGAGATCCACAGACATATCCCTCTCTCTCAGAACAGTAGATGTAGAAATTCAGTCTTCAGTCTGAGACTGGAGTGTCACAGTCTAGTTAATGCTTAGCCATGTGTGTCACCAAAGGCGTTTCCCATCTTTGTTACAAAACATTGCTTCTGTACCTACAGGGATTATGAGTCTAGGATTCAGCAGTTTGAACCAGACTCTCTGAAAATGAGAGGAGAAGAAAGTATTATTTTCTCTGATGAGAGAGGACATCAGAATTCTCAAACATATTGCACAGGGGTAATCAAAATATATCGTGAATGTTAAAAAAAATTTTTTTTAACTTATTTCAGTGAAAAACATATTGGTAAGAGCAATGGGCTAACTATGGTTGAAGTGAGGAACAGTATTGGGGGCAGGTAATGGCAATGTGTCTTTTATTGTAATAAATTATTTAAGCCTTCGCTGTATTTTTTATCACTCTTCATTGATCAAACACTTACTGTCAAATAAAAACATTATGGTATGTCCCCATTCGCCATGTATCCTGGATCTGGCACCATGTGACTTCTGGCTCTTCCCCAAAGTCAAAATGACCATAAAAGATAAATGTTTTGAAATGATTCAGAGCATCAAGGCAGCCATGACAGCCCAACTAAAGACAGTCCTAAAAGAGGACTTCCAGAACTCTTTCAGAAAGTGGCGAGAACAGTGGAATAAGTGTGTTCAAAGCAAGGGGGTGTATTTCAGGGGAGCGATTAATGGCAATGTGTTTTTCACTGCAATAAAAATGTTTTAATTTAAACATTCACTGTATTTTTATCACATCTCATATATTTCACCCATTTCAAATGCTTCAAGTAAGTAATTTGTTCTAGTAATAAGAAAACTGTGGTTCTGGCTGTCTTTGCAACTCATCTGGATAATGGTATCCTTTAGCCCTTACCGCATTTGGTGAAAATATGCCTCATGAGTTTTCTTTGAAACTTTCCATGTGAACTTTCTGCTCAGCTCTCAAGTCTGACCAGCAGGCCCAGCCACAGAGTCAGCCATCAGCCACATTCCTTATATAGACACCAGAAAAGCAAGATTGGAGGTGGCAGGGAGGCTAACAAAGGCCCAGCGTCTTAGCTTTCATCTCATCAACTGGAAAAAATGTCTTTTGCATGTTTATTTGGTCGAATCATGAACATCTGATGAAGTTGCCAAGAGCCTTATAACCTTTGGGAAACCACAAAACAAAACACATTTCATGTTTAACCTCTTAAGATGGCTTTCTGTTTGCTGAAATGTCCCCCTACTTTTTTCATCTTGCAGCTAAGCAGCAGTTTCTAGCCATAGCTGATTATTATGGAACACTGCATATATTAGAAATCCCTTGGACATTAAGTCACCCTTCCACCAATGAGGTTAGTAACTTTTGGCTTTGAGGATTTACATGACCAGACATTGTCTGGGCATATCTTAAAGTATTTTTAAAAGGCAACATTTTTGCTTTATAAGAGAGTAAAAGATTTAAGCGGTCAAAAATGAAATATGAATCTCCAAATCAATTCTTCTATAAGAATCTGAGCTTCATTTAATTGGCTTCCTCTCCATCTCATGGTTGGGATTTTTCTTAACTTCAAACTATTTAACTTACGTGACAGAAATATAATCATAAAAGATTATTTTCAGGTTGAAAGTATGTTTTAGCTCTGTCATTTCAGTGGTATTCTTCTCTGAAATCCCAGCTGACAATTTTATGCATCTTTCCATCCTCCTCCTCCACCTTAATATATTGCACATGGAAACCTCCACCCTGTACCCGCCACCAAGCAATGTTAATAACGAGGTTATGCAAGGATCAGTGGATTGAAATATATAAGTATGTGTACAACCAACACAAAATATATAGATTGTAATCTGTTACAAGCCCCAACATCACCCATTTACTGGCAGGCAGCAAGTGTTCCCTCTGCTCCTCAGGCTTCTTCCCCCAAGAACTCTTCCGACTGGGCTTCCATTCTTTTGCCTCCCTGCTAAGCCCTCCAGGGAACTAGGAACTTGGTTCTGCTTCCAGGGCCTTTAGGGCCTCCATTGATACCCTCAGCGGGGTTTTCCCAGTTCAGTTAATGACGTGAAGCTTCCCTCAGTCTTAGAAGTGAAAAGGAAGAAAATGGGAAAAAGAAGTTCCCAAATGTTTCTACTACAAAATTCCGAGGTGTTTTTTTTTTTTTTCTTTTTTGCAGCTCCCTCCTTCAAACCCTACTCCTTTTCTAGAAGTCTCCAAGTCACAGGGATGTAAATCTAAGTACAGCGACCTCCAAATAGGTCCAGCTGCGGGTAGTAGGCCTGTGAGCACAGCTTCCAAATCCTGTTCACTTGAAGGATTAGAAGTAGGGTGCATCCAAGTCGATCATCTTCCTCACAACAGGAAGATGACCATTAGGCAATGATCAGGAGGGCTAGGCGGTACATGAGACAGGCAATCCACCTGCACCAGAAATCCTAACAGGGCCTTGTGGAGACCACAGGAGCTTCCCTGTGCTTGACCCTGCTGTGGGCTTCTATTTCTAATAGGTATCAAGTGTTAACTACTACTTTGAAAGAGAAGTCAAGCATCTGGAGTACGTAGAACAGCGCAAAAATATTCGTGAACAAGAAAAGAAAGACATGGAGTTAGAAATGGAAAAGAAAAAACATGTAAGTTTCAGAAATGAAAGTTGCTTTCTTTTCACTCTAGTGAAAATGTTTGTTTGGCTTATTCCACAACTTCCATAGGGATACCATGCTAGACTGTAAAACAATCTATTCTTGGTCTAATGAGAGTCAAGAGGGCTTTTTTAAATTTCCTAGCTCACCGTGAATGAGAACTAGCAGTTGGACACTTAATGATATTCTATCCAATTCAGGTTTCTATAGTTTACTATAACGTCAAATATAGTACAAATATGAAGATTCCAAATGTTAATGTTTTCATTACATAGAATTTTAATATCTGGTGAACAATGCATTAAGGTAGATAGCATAAAAAGTTGAATAGAGGAATCAGGATATGTGGTTTCAAATCCCACCTCTGCCACTTAGCAACTATGACATTGGGAGCGGTGCTTTCATGAGCTTTGGTTGCCTCATTTGGAAAATGGGATAATGATAACCACTTTGGATGATTGCTGTGAAGATTTCAGTTAAATAACCACAAATAGTTGACGTCAAATGGGAGCTATTATAGTTATAACAATAGTAAGATTATAAACTGATAAGAAAGATGAGTTTTACTATATGTTATGCTGGAGCTGTGATACTTAAAAATAGAGGTGAATTGAGTATAGGACACATCCATCTTAAACCTCACCAAAAAGGAACCTAAAGCTCTAAAGCCTTCCCCCTCCTGTTTCTCAGCCTTTCTCTGTTTCATATAAATTCCATGGCTCTGTTGGTCTTTCTTTGCCCACAGGAATTTGGGGCTTTTAAATATTCTGTCAATTCAGGTCTTCTCTCTTTCTCACTTAAAGTCATCTTGTTTTACATTTTTACTTCTCTTTTGTTCATCCCCTCTCTTGCCCTTTTGTCACCAATAATTTCATCCCTGATCCCATCTGTAGTTTCCTTGTAGCCAAATGCAGAGCATCTTCTAACGTAATTATTCACACAAGACCCCCAGGTCTTCATTAAAAGCACCAGCATTTGGAAATATTGTAACACTGCACTAGCAAATAGATTAACATTGTCATTTATTATAGATACTAATTAGTTCAATAAAAGCAGAGGGACTCATCTCAAAAACATTGTTTAGTGGTAACAAAGTAGAAGAGAATCCCAATTAATGAACTTTTCATTACATTCCACTGCTACAAACAAATTGGTCTTGGTTTTGTCCTTTTGCATACTTACAAACATTGGTTGAAATTCTGTGACAGGAGATAATCTGTCACTCTTGTCCTATGTATGCCAGCAATCATCCATGATTGTTATAAGTGTTTAAGTACCATAGCAACAATTTCTAATTATCTACATCAGGTGAAGCATGTAGAATTGTGGATAATCAAAAAGAACTTGCATGTGAAATATTTCAATATTTAAAAACTGCATCATGCTTTCTAGTTTCCAAAACTTGTCCAACTTCTTGGAAGATTGTTTCCATTTGACACAGTACTTTCTTTTAAATAGAGCTGCCACTTCTCAAATTTCCTCTGGAACTAGATCATGGATAAGTGAATTGATCTAAAAGAGTTCTTCTGTTAGAGTTGGAACATGAAAAAGGTCACTAAGGAAAAACAATTAACATTAGTTGGAAAAAAGAATGATATTTAAGAACCTCGGAGGATGGGAGTGGGATTAAATGAGTTAAAATATTTATAGCCCTTAGCCAGTGATTGGCACATAGAAAGTGCCAGTACATTTCACTATTAGCATTATTGCAGAGGGCAGGGGAGGGTCACACAGCCTGGCTGGTCTTCGTGAGTACCTGCCAGGTGCCAGACATGAGGCTCCAGCCCATACCCTCAGGGGAATCGAACACCTGTCTCCTTGCAACCATGGGCTGGAGAACCAAAGCTGGGAAAAGTAGCAATTGCCATGTGATCAGCAAGCTATACTATCTGTATGGGACGTAGGACAATTCTGCCACCTCCAGTCAGTGACTCAATCAGGGCACATAAGGAAAGCAAGAGTCCTGAGGAAGAAGTTGAGAAGGGAGGTTTTGGTTTTTGTCTTGGAAAGAGGCAATGGCGTATCAGGTCTTTCCCATTCCTCAACTCCACAAAGCATCAGACTTCCCTCCTGTCCTCCTCCTCACCTGCAAGCCCCTTCTAGATAGCAGCAACTGTTTGAAAACAGCCCCTTCTCATTCTTTGGTAATTTTAGCTGTCAGAAACTTACATATTTCACATTACCTATTATACATTTAGTCCTTATTTACACTTTCAGTTTCTCACACGAGAGAAACTATTCGGTATTTATACATGTGTGTCCTATTTATTTCACTTAAGAGTATTGCCTCAATGTGCTAGGGGAAAGAATAGAAGGGAATGAGATTAATATGAGAAAAAGGAAAAATAGAAACAAAATCTTTGTAAATAGGGAGGAATGGAGGGGTTGAAGGGAGGGCTGGGCAAGGGTGAAAAATAAGAACCAAGAGAGACTATGTAAAGGTGCAAATTTCCAATGATGAATGTCATTATATTGTATACCTAAAATGTACCAATGATTAGAATGAATAATCGATAATGCAAAATAGGACGAAAAGGTCCAAAGGGGTAGGGGTAGTGGGAGGGGCAGGGGAAAGGAAAGAAGGGAAAGGAAAAATGATGAGAAATGGAAAAAATGGAAATAAAGTCTTTGTAAATAGGGAAGGGTGGAGGACGAGAAGGGAGGGCTAGGAATGGGGAAAAAATAAGAACCAAGATGCATCATGTAAAGGTACAATTCCCAATGAGAAATGTAATTGTGTTGTATACCTACAATGTACCAATAAAAAATTTAATTTTAAAAAAAAGAAACTTACAAGCATGTCTTCTTTGTTCCCCCCTAGAAAACATACCAGAAGTCAAAAGAACAAATAGAAGCTGAATTAAAAATGGACTATGAGAGTTATTTGGAACTGGAAAAGACCATCCTTATCAATCTTGGCCTAGTCAAAGTTCCGGAGACGATGTCACACATGGAAACGATCTAGAGAAGCTTTCTGAAGGGGTGTCTGGAGGACTCTATGGGTCTTCTCTCTCTTCATTCATTATCAGTTTGAACTAGCAAACTGAACATATAGAGGTTCATTGTAAATATAGGCTTTTATTTCACTGCTATTAAAACATTTGAATTACAGCAGTAAAATCTATTTCCGATTTTACACTGAGCATGCATGGAATTTTGTTTTCAATAAGAAAATGTTCATTATCCTACAGTAGTTCAGAACTTCAGACATCCCCTCCACCATACTCCTTGCCATTCATGCAGTGGCCCTAATCCCAGACAGACATGGAAATCGAACTTAGCTCCTACCTATCAGGTAGCTTTGGGTCATCTCTCCAAAAAGTGCTTCGCTTGCACCACTGCACAAATAATAGAGCCATAGGCTAAACAAAATATTAGCAAATTGAATCTAGAAATACATATATTTTTAAAAGAATATCACATGAAGACTGAGTTGGGTTTGCCCAGGAAATACGTTTAATTTAAAAGTAGAAAATTAATCAGTGATTGACTAAAGTAGAGAAAGTATGATGTCAAGTAGATTTAGAAAAAAATTGTTGATAAAATTCAACATCCACTCATAGTAATAATAAATTCTTAGCAACAGCAGAAAGAAGAGAAATTCTTTTATCTGACAAACAGCATCTAAAACAATCCTATAGCAAGCATCATACTTAAAAGCTTTCTTCTGAGTCTTATTCCTCTGCAATAAGGCTTGGAGCCTACTATCCTGTCTTCTTTGCCATATTGCACTGGATGGTTTTAACCACAAGGCACAAAAAAGAAAAACAACAACAACAGTTCATGAAGCTAAGTTGCATAAGAATATGGAGCCAAACTGTGAAGGCTCCAATAAACCCAGCTAAGGAAGCCAGATCATAGTGTGTGGGGAATTAATAGAAGGGCTAAGTAGGAAGGCGATAAGATCTGCTTTATTTGGGGGAAGATAAGGAATGGATTAGAGCAGAGAGAGTCTCCTGGCAGGAAATCCTGTGAGGGGGCAGTAATGAGAGTTCAAGTTCAGTAATGAAAGATTAGAAAGCCCTGTGTGTAAAGCTTCATGTGAATAGAAGTGAAAGGCTACTTAAGTGGGGAAGAGAAGATAAAGAATGATGCCAAGGTTTATAACTTAGGTTGGTAGAGGAAAGGAAACTTGGAAGTCAGATGGATTTAGCACTTATACACTCGTGTGTCCTTGGACAGATGATTGAACTCTGGGAGACAGAGTCCCCTTCACTGAATCAGGTTGAGAGCACTTACCCCAAAGCATCTTTATACGGGGACATGAGCATCTGCTCATATGGAGCTGGTGCCCAGATGTGTTATTGTCACCACTATTGGAATGTCCCTGGGCTCAGCCTGCACCTGAACTTCTTTTCCACTTTATTTCGTTCTACAGTCATATCTCAGTTTAACTGTCTCATGGCTTTAAATACTACCTTTATCCCTGGCGTGAACTTCTCCCCCAGAATTAAGAGGTGCACAGGTGACTTTCTATCTCTGTTTGGATATTCAGTAGGTCTCTCAAGCTGCAAACATGTCCAAATGGGGTGCCTGGCTTTTCCCCCAAAATCCATTCTTCGTCGGTGCGCCTAGACATCATGTCTTCAGCTGCTAGGGGCAAAAACCTTGACATCATGCTTGGCCTTCTTTCTCAATCCACATGCAATTTGCCAGCAAATCCTATTGACGATATGATGTGATAGAAAAAATATGGTGAATATTATAAAGCTTTAAAAGTATATATTATAGTAAAAGACACTGTCATCAAACTCCCTCAAAATACTCCCCTTGTCTTTGAACACCCTTGTCCCGTCATTCTTGCCCCTTTCTGAAGCGGTTCTGGAGGGCCCCTTTTGTGAGTGTCTTTAGTGGCTTTGTCATGGTCCTCAATGTCCTGAATTGATTGAAAATGTTTACCTTTCATGGCCATTTTGACTTTAGGGAAAAATCAGAAGTTGCATGGTACCAGATCCAGTGAATAAGGAGGATAAGGTACACCACAGTGTTTTTAAGAGCCTGTCTTTCCTTTGTGTGATACTTAGCAACAGCATTCACTACATTTTTGATCACACTTCCTAACGCTACTTAAAGAGGATTTCCACGACTGCTTCAGAAAATGGTACTGGGGTTTGAACCCAGAGGCACTGTACCACTGAGCTATATTATCAGCCCTTCTTATTTTTTTATTTTGAGACAGGTTATCAGGAAATTGTCCAGGCTGGCCTCCAACTTACGATCATCCTGCCTTAGCCTCCCCAGTTCCTGGGATTACAGGCATGGGCCACCACACCCAGCCAGCTGTGCTTTGAAATGGGAGTCAGATGCTGCCATTCTTCTGCCAAAAGCTCTTCCTCAGGGTAGGAGTCAAAGACTTCCCTGTGCGCTGCCAATGCTCACGTGCTCAGGCTTCCCCTGGTCACCTAGTCCGGTCACTTGTTCTTCTCTCTGTCACACCCACGCCATCACATTGGCCTCCCCTCCACCAACCAGCCCAGGTGTGCTCCCTCCCAGGGCATCTATGCCTGCAGTTCGCACTTCCTTCGGAAATTTTCCCTGTTTTATTGTCATATGGCGACTCAAAGAAATGTAGAAAGTATCTACTATGTGTCAGGCTCTGTAATTTTAGCCTGGATGACCAGGGAAGGTGACATTTAAGCAAATAACCAGAAGTGAGTAAGGGATTTCATATACAGTCTCCCAGAAGTGTGTTCCATAATCCAGTCCTGCACCTCTTAGTACAAAAGAAGCTGGGACTACAGAGAACACGCATAGTTTATACTATTACCTAGGGTTGGACATATTGTTGCCTCAGAACCAAGGTTTTGTGAGCATAGAAGACAGGGGTAATGGATATGTCTCAAGGTTATCAAGAAAAGAGCTTAGTATAGTGGCTGACATCTTCCCAGCAGTGTTTTGCTGGGGAGGTACCAGAGAATGAACCCAGGGCCTTCATACTGAGCTATATCCTCAGGCCTTTTAATTTATTTTTTATTTTTTGTTTAGAGACAGAGTCTTGCTAAGTCACTAGTTTGCCCAGGCTAGGCTCAAATTTGCAGTCCTCCTCTCTCAGCCTCCCAGAGTGCTGGGATTATAGACATGGATCATTTTGCCCCGGATTGTAACATTCCTGCTGAAAACTCTAAATATTATTTCATCATGCTTACAATTGTGGCAGTTATCATTTAATATATTTGCATTGTGTGAAACCAGTTTTTCCAGGTCTCATGAACTCACCAGACTGTGGGCGCTGGTGGGGGTCCCATTGGCAGCTGGATCCCAAGTTCTGAGATCTCACCCCACCTGCTATCAGGTAACTCAACCTTCTATAAACTGTTGCCACATGTGTGCTGTGCTAGTTGGGGTAAAGATGGAGTGGCATATGTTCAAAAGAGCCTGACAACCACCAGGCACTTGAGGGGCCCCTCTCTCAAAATGAGAGCGCTGCCTGAATCAAATGACATGGGGAGGTGCTGGGGCGATGCTTCTGCATTAGTCCAAGTCTATCAAGAAGCAACACCAGACAGGCCTGGATGCACTCAGGATTTACTAGGGGAGAAAGCAGGAGAAGTGAGGGAAGCCTTCAGATGTCTGTGCAGATCTGTATTTACGGAAGGAGAGATGAAAGGACAGAGGACGGTGCCTCAGGCCACCCTGAAAGGGTGAATGCTGGCAAACTCCACTTTGACAACCGGGACTTTGGAACTTGGACAAGCTCCGGTGCTGCCTCCCTCTTCCCTGCGTGAATCCTCTCTGAGGCTCTTCAGCACTGCCTAGGCTGATTCCTCTTCTCTGGTCCAGACCCTCCATTTAGCAGGTAACAGACACAATGAGTACCAGCAAGGAACACAGCTGAGGCTTAAGCTAGGAAGTGAGGGGATCCCTCCCATCGGGAGACATAAGGAACATTGGATATATTGGGGTGAACGGGGCATGAATGACAGTGGAGTTACCTCATGTGCCTCCTTCCAATCCCACAGCTCCCTTGCTTTCCCTTGCTGCCGATTGCTTCCCAACTGTACTGTGGGTCAATTAAACCTCCTTTTTCTGCCCATAAATCCTTTCAGTCCACCCTTAAAGTGGGGTGGAAAGAAAGGGGCTTTAGGTCCTTGCAGATCTGAGGCAAAGCTCAGCCTCACCACCTTGGGTGGTCCTCAGTCTCTGTTACCCTGTCTGTGAAATGGGATCCCATGTGCCTACCTCATATAAAAGCAGCATAACACACTTGGCCTGCAGTTGGTGCTTAACCCATGTTGCCCCTTTTCTTGCTTGGTCTCAGGCGCGTGCACTTTCACCCCAGAGAAACCAGAGTTTTTTCTGCCCTACGTAATAATGTCTGATTTTAACACTTTTGTTACTATTAACAGAAATAGCAATGTCTCCCCACTTTTAAATGTGATTTAGGCAGTGACCGTGCATGTCTGCACATTCTAATCATTTAATCATTCTAATACGAGACCACAAATGTTGGGCGTCATAGTTAAAAGGTGAACAGCAACTTTCTTTTTTGTAGAACTTCAAGTGTTACTTGGAACAAAAATATTAATCATCCTAGTAATATTTGATTTATTTAGATAAATTTAATTATCATTCAGCTTTTACAAATGGCTTTTTACTCACCAAGAAAAGTGTAATTTAACCAGTGTACTTTTAGGTCCTCAGATAAAGACATCCTGGGTTCATTTGTGATGAAAAAGCAGTTAGCTCCAGTAGACGCTGGCCCACGTGTTCTTCTGCAGCTTCCCCATCCACCACTGTAAATAATTAACATCTCCCCTGCCCTTCTACCCCTGAGCGTCCAGGGTAGGCAGCATGCTACCTCGTTGCTAGGCTGCCGCTCCCAGGCCAGAGTCTATGTAACTGAGCCAGGTCCCCAGCATGGAAATCAAATATCTCAGAGAAGGGCAGATTAGACCCGGGGTGACAAATTCACCCTGTGTGGCTGATGAGCTGCTTGAGGGTCACAGGCCGAGTAAAACAACCGCACACCGTCAGCGTAGAACTCCACACACCAACAAAACAGCCTTGGAAGTTTATTGAGAAGATGATGATTTTGAGGAGCTTTCAAAAGGTTTTGTGTTAAGAAATATGCCTTAAAAATATACACAATGAATAGGGCAAATAATACAGGTCGTTTCCCTGC